TCCATCTCCTTAGAATCTCTTACCTGGACTACTTCAAAAGCCTCCAAATTAGTCTCATTCATCACCAATCCATCTCCCACAAGAGATCCATCTCCCACATCTTTCTAAAAGAAGAGAGATCTTTCTAAAATGCAGATCTGATCATGTATCTCTTTTACTTAAAATCTTCACTAATCAGAAAAGGTCTGAACTCCACAGCATGACATTCAAGGGCAAACTTTATTGGCCTCATGTCTCATCAGTGCCCACTTTGCACTTTATATCCTAATAGGTAATAAATATGAGACTAACAATCAAACCAATCTTAATTCCCCAAACTTATCACGCAGTTGTTCAATACCTGGAATGAACCCCCACCCAACATTATCATTCACCAAGCAAAGTCCTATTTATCCTTTAAAAGCCTTAGACAGGGCTGGTCTGTTAGCTCAGTCGGTTAGAGCATTATGCGCTGATTACACCAAGTTCTAGGGTTTGATCCCTGTACCGGCCAGCTGACAAAAAAAAAAAAAGCCTCAGACGTTTCATCCTCTAGGAAAGCTTCCCTCACCCCAGGCTCCTCCCCAATACCCCAATATCTATCCCTGCAAATACCTTACACACACACACACACACACACACACACACACACACGCCTTGTATTATCTACTTCTACATCCTCTGTGCCCATGACAGCACCATGTGCCTAGATTATAGTAGATGTTAAGCAATATTTATTAAACTGAGTTTAAATAATCTCTGGTAATATTTGAAATCCTAAGCAAGACCGGAATTTTAAAAATTCATGTTTTTAATTAGGCTCATTTCAACCATAAAAAAACAAACACTCAAGTTACCTTAAAAAGAGGGTAGAAGTGGGAGTTATATTAGAAAGCTGTCATGAACTAAGGAGTTCTAGGGAGAATTTTTCTGCACAGAGCTGCTTCTTTCTTGTCTGTTTCTTCAGACCTTTAGTTTGCAACATGGTCAGTTCTGGCCTCAACACCCTCTCCCTCCAACTCTTCAGTTTCTCCCTCAACTCTTCTCCAGGGCTGACAAGCAATTTATCTCCATGTTATCTAATTCAAATTTATGAGAAGGTTTTTTTATTTGGTTTACTTTTCGGCACCAGGCCTCCATGCTCTATTTTTTTTGTCTCTGGCCAAGCTACGATCAGCTGCCCTATGGTTAGGTGCCATACCAGGACCAATCAACTAATTCCCTCAAACCTCAACTCAAGATACTATTTTTATTTCCGTAGAACGATTACTAAAGTATAATGCTAAAATAATTTTGCAATACTTTTAAAAACAAGTCCTGCCAAGACTTGTTCACAGTGAGAAAAATCCTGCATATTTCCTCACCAAATCAGCTATGCATTCTTATTTCTCTAGATGTGCACAGAAGGAATCCTCTTAATTGTTATCACTGCTCAACAGCAGTAGTTTAAAAAGCATTTTTATGAAGTTTTTGCATAATTTCACTTAAATATATAAAGAAATGAGTAGTCCAGACATTGCCAAGTTAAATTCTATCCCATAATATCAAGTAACTTTATACAACAGCAATCTATCAGTAACCAACAAAACCTGTTTCTCTTCCTCCAATCTAACACCAGTGGGTAATGACTGAAAAAGGCCACTCACTGAAAAGCAGCCATGTTGGGGACAGAGGGGTGCAGGCCAGGAGACAGGCACTTTCAGGTGGTCTCCAATAAAATAGGATTCTCAGTGCCATCAATCTCCTGCTTAAAAACTAGAAAAAAACAAATTAGATGTCTATTATATCTGCGGAGACACCACATTTTCACTAAGATCAAACTTAACAAAATAAGAACACTATACAATCTTTGAAAGGAGAGGACAATTTATTCACTAAAAAATTCTAGCTATTCCAAGAGTCAACATCCACTGTAAAGAAATATTGTTAGAATGGGCAGGGGGAAAGCTACGTGACAGTGGCCATTCAGAGGATCTGAGGGAAAAGGAAACTTTTTCAAATGCAGGATGTCCTTACATTTCTTCCTATAAAGGAAGCATTTTCTATTTTAAAATCAGGTAGGTGTTCTAGTTAGCCAACCTGTTTATTAACTATCCTGATTAGTGACTCATTTTTGTTTCATCTATATTAATGAGCAGCTGACTATGTAATATCACAACTATCAGTTTAAACTATATAACGTATAATCACAACAGATCTAATTTCAGAGGATAGAAATTGGTACAATTTAGAAAGGGCTGATGTTGTCTTTAAATGAGGCTTGAAGTTAAGACACTATTAGAAAGCTTTCATTGAATAAAAACACTGAAGGCTAAGGCGTTATTCATGTCTTTCCTCAGCAAAATTTTATAGGTTTTAAAAGACAATGTTAACTTGAATGTCTTGGAGAAATTTTAGTCAAACACTAAAAAAGGTCATATGCCCTTATTCTCTTTTTTTTAATAATTGGAGCAATAAGCCAAGAAAATACGATACCTATATTATGAAAGTACTAGCAGACTTTGATTTCTTACTAACAAAAATGGGAAAAAAGAAAGAAGTACTAATTTCTCCATCTTTCATAGTCATTGAAGACTATCTAAATTTAACAAATCAAGGGCCGGCCTGTGGCTCACTTGGCAGAGTGCGGTGCTGATAACACCAAGGCCACGGGTTCAGATCCCATATAGGGATGGCCGGTTCGCTCACTGCCTGAGCGTGGTGCTGACAACACCAAGTCAAGGGTTAAGATCCCCTTACTGGCCATCTTTTGAAAAAAAATAATAATAATAAATTTAACAAGTCAAGAATTAATACTGTTGAAAGTTATAAACGTAGCCCGGATAACTAAAAATAATAGTTTAACAACCAAAATTTGAGAAAGACCAGGAGGAGAAGTAGAAGGTAGAGTGCACTGAATTTCTCACTTTTCAGTGGAAGTAATAACTAGATACTACTCAAAGTTGATAAATCATGAAAAAGAAGTACAACTTTTTTTTTTTTTTTGTCTTTTTTTTTTTTCATGTCCGGTAACGGACCCCAACCCCCAGTGTGGCGCCCGTACCGGACCGGGACCGGCAACGGGATCGCAACCCTCAGTGTTGCTCCCACGCCTCACTCAGCCAGTGAGCGGGAACCAGTCTGTATGTGGGATCCGAACCCTCAGCAGGAGCGCAGCCGCAATTCCCAAGCGGCGCACTGTAGCAGTGCGCCACCGGGCCGGCCCAAGAAGTACAACTTTTAAAGTAATAAATGCAACCTCCAGAAGAACCAAAAATAAATTGTCAACAGTGGTTACCTGTGGAGGTTGGGGGGATGGAATGGCGGACATTTTCTGTTTATTTTATACCTCTGTACAATTTGCACTTTCCTACCATGTGTATGTATTTACTTTTAAATCTAGTTCATTAAACTGTCAACAATCAGATCCCTTTAAAAAAACCAATATCTACTATATTTCATTCTCTGCACATAATGACTCATGGTCAGTCAACTTTAAAAAATGAAACGCACTCTAAAGATATATCACTCTAAAGTGATATATCTCATCCATCAAATTACAGGGAAGGTTTTTTAAAAAAAGGCAGAAGCTTTTTTCTCATCTTGCAAAATTCATGGTTGATCATCCTCAAAGTCAAAATAGCTCTTGTGACAACTACAAACTTTTAAAAAATCCACACATTTCTTGGAAGTGTTTTAAAATAAAAAACTCCTTCAATTTTTCCTGTGTTTAAGTAAAAACACAGGTATAATAGTGTCTTGTCCAATAGTAACTCCTATAAAGTACTCCTAAATACTGTCAAGCTAATAAACCAAGGCCAGAAGCTTCATGGAAGCAAACTAGTAAGTCCTTACATCAAATCAATAGAACAGTTATGGGCTTATATTTTATTTGAAATCAAAACAAGAGAAGCAATTTGAGAGTTTGCTATCTTCACTGACCCTCTCAGGAATGTAAAAGTATGCACTGCAGTTTCAGCCTTGCAGTGCTTGAGTTTTTTAAAGCAATTTACTTCTGCCTGAACAAGCAGTAAGACAGGCCAAAGCAGTTGGGTTTTCTATTAATCCTTAGTCACAAACCTTCATGTTCACACTGACATTTCACCTTTCCAATGCTCCTAAACATAATTATCTCAAAGAAATTTCAAACCACAACTGAATTTAAAGGAAGGGGGCATTTTGCATCACTGATGATAAAATATGATTGAACACAATGCTCTTAGGACTGAATTATTTCTAGTAATCACAGTAGTTGTAACTTAGGTAATAATATGAATAAAGATCACAGAATTTAAAACTGTGCCTTAGCTCGTCCTCTTCTCACCTTGCAATATCTCACCGTATTGGATGGTCCTTGAAACAACACTGACAAAGAAGGGTTAGCAAAATTTTAACTTACATATATGCAACTTAATCTTGGCGAGACATAAGTACCTAACGCACATCCCTGAAAACGCATCAACTTTACTCTTAAATATAACTCATATGTCTAATATACTGGCAGTATGACCGCAGTCCTGATACTCTTCGTGAACTCTTGAAGACGGTAAACCTGACCTACAAAACCATAGGCTTTAGGCCTTCTGATAATAAAAAGGACCAGCTAACTGACGCAGTCCTGTCCTCGAAGCCCATAGCAATTGAGATAACTGAGGGCATTACTACGAATCCTCAACTCTCAACCCCCAGTACACCCGGACCTAATGACGTAAAGCTCTACAAATTTTCAAGAGCGGTCTCTCCACCCCACCAGGTACTCCTACTCTGTTCCAAGCCTCCTCCTCCTCCTCGGACCCTATTCTGGGCCCCGGCTCCCCGATTCCTCGGCGCCCCGCACCGCACCTGGGGGCGCCCACAATCGCTCGCCCCCTTGTTCCTCCCCCGATCACTCCGTCACACATCCCGAGTCCCGTCCCCGGAGGCGCCTGCCCAGCCCAACCCGCCCACAATACCTCTAGCCCCTCATCCTCCCCTCCTCCAGGCCGAGTCCAGCTGGCCTTTCACCCCCCCTCCCGCTCCTACCCCTTCTAGGGGATACTCACCCGCGGTAGTAGGCTTTCACCCGGACCTGGTGAGAATGGTCCCCGCTGCCGCCGCCCGCGACCGTGTGGGACATGGTGCTGCTGTCCCTCTGGGTCGGCATCTCCTTACTCCCCCGCCTCAACACAGGAGGTCGAGGGTGCAGGGGGCGCGCCGGGCGCCGCGGGAGACTCCGCCGCTGAAGCCTACCCGAGAGCTGCGGTCGTCAGCTCGCCTACCTGCCCGCCTCGCCGCAGCGCCGACCCAAGGGTCGCTTCACCCAGGCAGCCGGAACCGCGCGGCTCCTCCCACCGCCAGTGACCGCCGCCGCCGCCTCTACAGCCGCCCCGACCAGCACGCCTCCCTGCCTCGGTCCCTCCCACCTAGCTGGCTCCAAAGGCCCACATTCCGGGGTAGGGAGGGCGCAACCATCAGTCCAACTCAAGGAGCCTCAATGCCGGGCTGAACCATCCTCACAGGGGCAGAGAAAGGGGGGAGGGGAATCGGAGACGCTGACGATCACTTCAGGCACCGCGGAAAGAGACCTCGTGGGAGCAGTGACAGAGGATTCACTACTGTAGTTCTATTAAAAGCCCCTTCCCTACAGGAAAAATGTTAAGAGACAAATACTGCAACATCTCACCCCAATTTCCCATCTTGGACGCGTCCGCGGTCAGCCGACTTGGCACCCCGGATACGTTTGCCATGCGGATTTCTGGGATTTGGAGTCCCCGTGGGATTCTGGGACTTGAGGTTCCTTACATGCGGAGAGCCCAATCTTCTCTCTGGTAAGATTATGTCTCTTCAGCACGCTCCGCTTAGAAATCTTGAATCCAATTTGGGCATCTGAGGGCACTGGAAATGATTGGGCCTCGTCACGATCTAGACTTTGTCCTCTGATGAATTCTCCTTCCATTTGCACAAATCATCTAAATTATACAGTTCCTTTTTTGGGGCACAAGAACGTGTTTACCCGCTCATCACAGGTATTTTTATGGAAAGAATTTAATAATATATGTAACAAATGTAATAATCAATGTAATAAAGGAAGAAACTCAACCAGACGATATGATGGAAGAGAGACTTTTCTTCCTTCGCGCCCCCCATATCTAGCCCCTGAATACTGATATTGCATGGAACAGGTGATCAATGAATACTGATATTGCATGGAACAGGTGCTCAATGAATACTTATCCAATCAATCAATCAATCCATCAGCATTTGTTCTGTTAATATTGGCTAACCAACGATTAGAAAGAAACCGTCCTTGTAACCTAATCTCTGACTTTCCTCAGGTCTTGTCTGTCACAACTAATACTGCAATCAAAGGTAGCAAAATTCCAGCCTCTGCATCAGTTCTGGTAATACCACATGCTAAAAGAATTGGAATAATCAAATAAATAGCTTTCTTTATCATGATTAAATAGGCTTGAGGGATTGACTCAACAGAGTTATGGGTGATACCTAGCTTGGTATGAAGTCCTCTGACTGCTACAAACTTGGATTATATACTCTAAATAAAATTTTCCCTTTGGGAGGTGGGGAGATGTGTTCTTGTTGAAAAACTTGGTATCAATTTTTTGGCAGTTGGGGATCTGCATGAGCATGTTAAATACGGACCAATTAGCTATGAAATATAAGTTATTTCTAAAGTGAAATGGTCAAATTTCAGTTAGATTAATGGAAAATTTAGTATGCTTGTGACATAATTAAGATTCTATCATGTTCTAAAAGGTTCCATGTCATACAAAGAGTGAAAATTTATAGAAAAATGAAGGGTAAGGCACAGAAAACTTTCTTTTCTTTCTTTTTTTTTTTTATCCTTGCACCTTTGTCAAAAATCAATTGACCAAGGCTGGCTAGTTAACTCAGTTGGTTAGAGCCAAGGGTTATAACACCAAGGTCGAGGGTTTGGATTCCCTTACCAGCCAGCCACAATCAATCAATCAATAATAATAATAATAAATAAATAAATAAAATAAAATAATCAGATGTCCAAAATGTAAGGGTTTATTTCTGAACTTTCAATTCTATTCCATTGATCAATATGTCTATCCTTACACAAGAATCACACTGTCTTCATTACTGTAGCTTTTTTTTTAGTAACTTTTAAAACAGGGAAGTGTGAGACATAACTTTGTTCTTTTTCAATGTTGTTTTGGTTATACTGGGTCTCTTACATTTCCATACGAATTTTACAATCAACTTGACAGTTTCTTTAAAAAACCCAGCTGGGATTTTCATAGAGATTGCATTGAATCTGTAGATCAGTTTGTGGGGTTTTGTCATTTTTTTTTTTTTTTTTTTTTTTTT